GCGAAACTTGCAAAAATGTTCTAAGTATGGTTTTTTTTACTAATCTCGTTGCTTTGAATAGCTAGATATCTACGTTATCTCAGAAGCAAAAAAATGCCTACCTCCGCTTCTATGTAGCCTAGTTTACCGTATGGCAAATGGTAGTGAAGCACAGCAACTTTTTCGATACCAACCACATTGACGTTAAATTCGGAACTGCACGAAATCAACTTTAAGAACAATGAAATCATAGCGAGGTACATCTTAATCGGAAAATCTCTACCTAATTGCTTTGTTCTTTTGTTCTGACGTAGTAGCTTGACATCTATAAGTCCCCGTCATTGTCAAAGCATTTGTACGTAGCAAACAACGAGACGTTACTCTGTGTTCTGTTTCTCTAAAACAAGAGTTGAATTCACGATATCGAAAACTAAAACCTAAAAAGAAGTTCTAAAAAGCATTATAACAGCCATTTAAGGAAGGATAAAACACTTTTACTTGATCTCACTGATAGAATTTTGTTCAAAAAAAGTTCACGGCTAAACTTCAATTAAGGCAATCCTGAAGAATTAATATGTTCATCTACCTGCATTGTTTTGTTTCATCTTTAGTAGAGCATGCAAAGTCGACCCAGCTGATTGAATTAGGTGCTTTATGGAGCCAAGTGACAGTTGCTGGCTCTGGCAGAGATGAGAACTCGCACGACATATTGACCATCCCACGATTAAGCTATGATAATACTTTGTTGCTTGTTAAATGCAGTGCTAAGAAACAGCAGACCTCATAAGTGCCAGCAACGTCTGGATTCGTCTCCTTCATCAGCCAGACACCACATTGTGGCATTCGTTCCTAAATTCTCCTCACAATGGTTGGGAGTATCTCAAACTGATAAGGATCTAATGTGAAGTTAGGTGTGTTATGTGATACAAAGTTACCTGAAAGCATTCTGACCAACAGGAGTCATCAGCAATGGCCAGGCTGCTCAAGAACAGTAGCAGTATTGGATCCAGTGATGAAAACATCCAAAACTGCGAAATTTCGCTGTAGGCCTGCGAAAAAAATTGCGATTTCACAACAATAGAGGCTGATATTTTTTTATAGCACCTTTATAAGAAATTTCGTATGCATGTTCATTATTACGTTCAATCGTGTACAACTTTAAGGCCTAAACTATGACGGTAGAGAAATTTTCGCAGGCGAGAGTCTAGTAAGGGTCAAAATTGGAATATCATCTTTCTGCAGTTAGTATTTCATAGTTAATCTAGCATACACTTCACTTGGGTCCTAGCTTTTCCTAAATTTTAGATATCCCTTGGTCTTCTTCTTGTTGCGTTAGAGAACTAATCAACCACTAAGATGGTTTGGCATTTTGTGAAGTGCTGTTACTATTAGGT